TTCGCGAATCCAAACACCGAGATGGATACGCTATTTATTGTCATGGATGGAGCTATTGTTTCCTCTACAGCTTCAACGCCGACTTCTGATTCATTTTCTTGTACCGATAAAACAATATCCGCACCTGCATGTTTTGGAGAGTTAGGAATGGTACGTCACAACGAGTGCTGGACTCAGACACTTAAGGCTCAGTCAACACGAGCAGTCAAGTTATTGGCATTGCCCAAGCTAACGCTCGAAACACTATTGCATCGATTTTTTACGACCAGAAAAGCTTCTTCTTCTTCTTTAATCACGGTAAATGTGCAACCAAGAAGACCATCGTCATCGTCTGCAGGATTCGCTAGACGTTCTATAAAGTCGAAGAGGCAATCAATTATTGCACGTCGGCCATTGACAGCTGTGCCAGTTGCTGCGGCAAAAGTCAACATTGAGCGATGGCATAAGGTTCGCGATGAAACACTTTGCGATTATCGAGCGGGTCTTGAGGCTGAACAGCGAGCGGCTGCACTTGAAGCGAGTCAAAGGGCGATGACTGATTTATACTCAGCCTCTATTGAAGGTAACAATACAGGTCTGCGAGACTCGACAACTTCACCACAAGAGAGTCCACATGATGATTGTGATATTGCGTATCCCAAAGCACTTTCAGATGAAAGCACTCAATTGGACACGATGTTAACTTCTCGAGATATTATCAATTTTTCTGGTTTGAATAAAAAAGATAGCGCTTGTTTGCAGAGCGATCTAGACAAAGAGCCCATCACTGATCTTCCAAATCAACTGCGAGATTATTATCGGGCGCTTAATAAGCGACGTTCGACCTTGAAGATGCAACAGGCTGCTAGTGCACCTCCTGACTCGATAAATCAGCCGATTCCTTCATCACAAACGACAAGAATGCAAATTCCGATAGGTAAGGCCACTAGTCGCACCGCCTCGATATTAGCCGGATGGGCTGAAAAAGAGAGATCTGCCGGTCGGAACGCTGCCACTAAAGACGAATCCAGTGATGCAAGTAAAGCTGATACGCTCGAGTGTCGTTCAATTTCAAATGATTTATTGTCGGTAGAGAAAAGTCATTCTTCTGCAGTCACAAGTTCAAAATTCGGTACGCAATCGAAAAGTTCCGACTTGAGCCAAAAAAGCGATGTAATATGCTTAATAGGTGAACTGGACCCCGTCGTCCTAGAGGTAGCAAATGTCGACAAGACTACGCCATCCTTTGACCAGGCGGGGAGTGATGTCGCTCACTTATCGCTTGATTGCAAGTCGACGTTGACCAAGCAAAAAACTTTGACGACAGCGGCACGGAACAGAAAGATGTCTGACGAAAACATCACGAGAAAGAATCCAACCAAAAAGCAAACTTCACATAGTATAGCTCTGCTGAGTAGTCAACCTCAGTCCGGCAGCCACGACGTGTTAAAAACGTCTTTGCATGTGATGGATCAATATCACAATCATGCATCAGATCCACATCCTGTCAGTCTTCAGCAACGCATGGATCACGTTTTAAATGAGCTGCGGTTTTCATCTGGTCTTAAACTAGAAATTGGGCTTAAATACTCCCACGCCGACCACTATGATCGTTTTCCAGTGGCCGTACAGCTTTGGGAACGAGTTTACCAAACTGTTGTGGAGCGAGAAAGTGTTATGACGACACTATGGGACTTTGAGATATTGGCAAGTGACCCTCGTCGTCATTTTCGTTCACTTTCTACCCGTCGATTGCAAGAGGAGAAAGAGCGAGATGCACTGATGTCAAAGTTAGATCAAATTTCAGCCTCCTGTTTGAAAGCAATGGACGAGCTCTGGCAAAATTGTGGGGATAACGTTTATCTTGGTGATCGCTCTTATCGTGAAAAAATGAAAGCAGATTATACGGAGCTGCTGTACCAAGTGGAACAGGAGAGACTTCATTTAATATACAATGAAGTGCAACCTCGTATCGTACCAGATTCTCAAAGTAAATTTCTACGAAAAAACATTGCAGAGGCTTCAACGTGTTTAGAATTGAGACAACCACCTATAAATGTGTCGGCAGTGACTCCTTGTCGTCCAAGTAGTAGAAAGGATCTCAATTCTCCCAATCAAAATCGAGTGAAGTATGAGAACATGACGACTTCAATACCTGCTGACTCCAAAGATGGACGGAAGATCTCGAGCATTGTTGTTGACGGAGCTGATGCCGATCCAACCCGAACTCGATTTAGACTAGCTACTCCTCGTGAATCTCTTTTTATTCCTGTTGGCTTTCATGGCGATTCGTCGACACCAGGAGATGAGCAGCACAGGAGAAAAAGAGGATCGCAAGTCACAGTTCAAATTCAGCAGCAACGCCAAATTGAGCTACTCGCATTTACCAGACAGTTTAAGCAGCAATCGAATGAATGCTCCAATCTCGAAGAAGCAATGACTGGATCTCAACTCATTCGGCAACCAGAGGCGACGGCAATTACAACAAAAAAATGCAAGGATATCGTCGCTCGAAGCCAATTACACGCAAACCGATCCTCACTGAAAAAACTGGTCCAGCAGATTGTGACTCGTTCCAAAAAATAATCTGTTATGGAGATTGAGCAAATCGAACACGCTCGCCGAACGGTTCACGGCTACGCGGATGTGAAACTTGAGCCAGTCGACCAAGTTGAGTTTCTACGAGCTCGAGATTGTGTTCATATGCTTCACCACGTTGCGCAAACCAGTCTAAAAATCGGGTGCTCAGCTTGACATGTTCCTCAAGTTTCATGCATTGCTTTTGCAAATCTTTGACACTTCTTACAAGAGCTTTATGATCTGTATCAGATGCCATGGTCGCAATTTGTTTGCTCAAGACTGCAAGCTGAGTCTCCATTTCAAGCCGTGAAGCTCTATTTTTAAAAGCATTCTACAACACATGCACAAAACTTATTACAACGCATAATGACAACTATTACGATTATCAAACCTCGAAGTGGCGATACTGTTGTTGAAGCTGGGTGGCGAATGATCCAGCACTCGAATGGAATTTTGCTGACAGCGTGCGTAGAGTCGAATTGGTGATAACTGTACTGGTATTTACCTGATGTAAAGTCTGATTCAACTGCTCCGTCGTATCGTCCAGTCGTTGGATCTGCGGAGCGACAATTTGCTGGTAACGATTCTTTACATCGTCAAGCGATTGTTGGATATCGTTTGTATGTTGCTGTAGTTTTTCTTGTTCAAGATGACGAGCCTCGCACTTTAGGTTGAGCTGAGCCAGGGAGCGCTCGACCTGTACTTGTTGTTTATGGACGTTTGTTAACTGTTGCGATAGTTGCGAAGCCATCGGCTGAAAGCTGCGAATTTGTATCAAGACACTGTCTAATAGTGTTGCCTCCGACTGTCAGAATAACAAGATAAACTCAATACCTTTCAACTGAAAAGCAACAGACTCGCACCTTGTCCATCTTCGATACTAATTGCTTTTCCATGATCTTCATTTTCTCATTCAGCTCATTCTGCTCTGTTTGTAAACATTGCACTAATGACAGACTGGCAAGCTCAGAGCGAAGTGTGGATTCAAGATGCTCGATGTTTTTTATAATTCGCATATTTGCATTATGAACCTCCTGACGGTCCGCTTTGAGTTGTAACTGGCGATTGTTTGCCTCAAGATGCCTTTGCGCTACAATTTGGAATTGTTTTAATGCATTCGTGTCGTTAAACGTAGCATGAAGATGGAGCTCGAGTGAAGAGACAGCACTATGAAGATTTTTGCAGTCTAACAATCTTTCGCGTTGTACGGCCTGCAAACGCTGCAAAGTCTCCTGTAATTCATAGATTTGTGCGGCCTGATCATTCAGTGCTGAAACAAGGCGATTAATGGGAGCTTCGACGGCGTGGACGTCAAAGAGGTCGGCTACTTGCAACGCAACGGCGGTCATGGTGTTTTGAAGATCTTTGGTGTTTATTTTCAAGTATAATACATCATTTTAAGATATTCCGAGAATAAATTAATTGCTTAAAGTTTACGGCTTGGTGAGAAGCTCAAGCCATAAAGATTTGACAAATCGTAAGTGTTAACCTAAGTGCTGGCGATAGACGATGCTTGATGAGCTGAAATTTATGTTGGAGAGCTTCATTTTATATATGCAATTAAAAAACGTATGGTATAATGACCTTTGGGAAGGAGCAAAGATATTGTCCTGATACTCAGAGAGTCGCTCTACAATATGTTGCCTGAAGAATATTCACCAGAAAATCAAGCAAGATATCATTAACTATAAATTTATTACAGGGTCGTTTTTTTTAAGCACTTGCGTAATCAACATAAACATCATCACTTTTAGGTGCACAAGACATGCAGGCAGATCAATTGAAGGGCGCAAGCAGTCTCTTTCAGCTAACGTGCTGATCTTAAAGCTCCAAGTCATCGAGCTCGACTCGTCTGATAAGAACGGGAGGAAAGTTGCAATGAATCCTTGTGATGGGGTATTTACTGTAACTGAACACCTGGTCCTCAACCTATCCTTCATTTCTGTAGATGCTCGCATAGAAAATAAAATCTAAGACTATCTTAAGCTTGTTATCCAGTCAATGCGTCACTTCTTTCATGCTCTGCAAAAGCTTTGAGCAATTACACAATGTGAAGTGTTAAAAAAATTGATGGTATAAAAATCTCAAGCAAGAATAACTCGATCACCATGTGTGAAAGGGAATTTGATGGAAAATCTTCCGTGCAGAGTGTGTACTCACAACACTGCAGATCTGGCGAATGACGAACGCAGAGAATATACTCAGCGCCAGGAAATCCTTCTTAATGATGTTCTATCTGATCCGAATGCGACTATCCTCTTGAAACGCCCGTTTTCACCTTCAATGTGTTGTGTTTGTTCCACGACATTTTGCCGGCACACAATTTGAGATTGAGTTTCGTATGCTTTCTCCGAAGTTCACGCAACATCAAATGATCATCGAACGTATTCGTCGCCCTCGAATCAGCCAGCTGCAAAAGCCATCATGATCACCAGATGGGAGTTCGATAATGTAGATTTCAAAAATATTGACCTCATCACCAGAGTTTGGTTCTTCAGCTTGACATGTCACTCCCAGTCATCTAACAGGTCAAAAACTGACATGCATCATGGCGCTCAGTAGAAACAACTTATTTTGATAAAACTTGATCGCCATATTGGCATAATTATCCAAAAAGACTTATATTTGAAATAAGTGGTGTCCACCAAGGCATGCTTATTAATAACATTATCTGAGTACTCTTAACCAGATGGCTGTGCTATAGTCACAATATCAGCAAGCACTATCATTCGCATTGCTGATTCCAACTATCAACTGCACATTTGGCTAAGTATGATTAGGTGAGTCGGGGTGAGTTACAACAGCGGCGCAAATAGTTTTATGTACAGGTTGCTGGATACCTTACTGTGACAATAAAAGTCCATCAATTTCGAAGCAACGAGAAACTCATATTGCTAAATGACAGCTAAGTTGGCAAATCTGTACCGTTTGTTATACATGGAGAGCGATATCATTGTTGGCAACTATCAATGCGTCGCACTAATAATAGCAGAGGTGTCTGTGACTGCGACATCATTTAAAACTGTGACACGTTTAGCGGTACGCTCACTGTCCATCCAATAGCAGCCAGCTGATCGCCAATTCGGGATTCATACCCGTTGAATAAGCTATAGCAAAGTGTAAAATCAGTTCCGCAATGTTCCTGACTTGCTGTGACTTTACATTTACACAAATTTTACATCGTTTAGAACTTGGCTTCGTTATAAACGCCCGCGTGTCACCAGACGCATCCCACAATGCGACCAACACTGTCTTTTTGAACCAATCCTGACTATTCGTCTTTTCTCTGCCCCACTATCTAAGTTTTTCTATGATTTCCTAACTTGAACATCATGTGCTTTGAGGTTCCTTCTCATTACCGAATTTGCCTGTAACATTGCACGTCGCTTACCGGTGATATAGCTGAAACGCAAGGCAATGAGAGCAATTAGCAGATCGAAATGCATGTCCATGGATGGATCAAATCTAAACGGATTGGACCTTTCAACGTTGCAAGTGAACGTGTGCGAGTTACGGCTTTCTGCAGATGGCACATGGCTGTATTTACTTCAAGTCGCGTGTAGTCATGCACGGTGGCTGGTTCCTAAGCGCTACAGTGAGATCCGTGAGTTGTGGCTTGAGATTACGAAGGTGCTAGGCGATAATATGACGAAAAACTCTTGCAACGAGCACTGTCACTTTCTTGCTGGACTCGAACAGGACAAGTTTCCGAAGAAACATTTGTTACTTACGCAGCATAAGCTTGAGGCACGAGCTAGCGAATTGAACCAGTTCTTCTTAAAATTAGTCATGCGGTTAAATCTCTGCAATCCAAGTGACCTACAAACGTGTCGCTTACGCGGTTGTCCACTCCTGACGCTGATCGTTCATTTTTTAAAGGTGGATACAGAGCAAGCCAAGAACCAAGTAGCTCTTAGTTCCTCCCGCAGTATTTCAATTCAGCGTGTGGTGCGACGTCAAGATCAGCATTTTACGTCAAAGCGGCGCAGTAGCCTTAGCATCAGTTTAGGCCTCGGTCGTCGTCTTCTCGTTGACTCGCATGAGAGGCATACGTGTAGCTCCATGGCCGCATATGCTCAGTAAGAAGGCTTGCGGAATATTGTACTACGTAATTTAGACATCCTTAGACACTGAACGCAACTCGTTAACTATTTAGCGTAATTAATACACGCCCCAAATTTTACTTCCCACTATCCAGAATGTTGTGCATTAAACTACGAATATTCTGGTGACCTGTTCAGATGCAAAATCTGGAAAAACTAGTCTTTTTGTTACACGTTTCAAAATCTAAAGAGATTCAAACTGCTGCAAGATGTTGTTCTGCTCATTTACTACTAATGCGTCAACAATCTCGTCAAGTAGCTCGCCATTTAGCATACGTTCTATACCATGAACCGTCACATTAACACGGTGATCGCTCACGCGACTTTGTGGAAAATTATATGTGCGCACGCGTTCCGAGCGATCCCCTGACACAACCAGAGAATTTCGCATTATCTGACGCTCTGCATCACGTTTCCGACGAATACCATCGAACACACGCGCACGTAATATTTTCAACGCTTTAGCTTTATTCTGATGCTGAGACCGCTCGTCTTGTACAGCCGCGACGATACCCGTTGGGATATGTGTGATACGCACAGCACTCTCTGTCGTGTTTACGTGCTGACCACCAGCACCTGACGCACGGTAGACATCAATGCGAAGATCTTTTGGATCAATTTCGACCTCAACTTCTTCAGCTTCAGGTAAAACCACTACCGCAACAGCACTTGTATGGATACGCACGTCGTTTACTGGTACTCGCTGTACACGATGTACGCCACTCTCAAACTTCATGCGACCAAAGGCACCACGACCTGTGATCGAGCACACACACTCTTTAACACCACCTAAATCTGTTTCCGAGATACTCATAAGCTCAAACTTCCACCCTTTAGCGATAGCTACTTTTTGATACATTTTAAGAATATCTGCGGCAAACAAGCAAGCTTCATCACCACCGGTTCCAGCACGAATCTCTAAAATTGAACTCTTGTCATCGGCTTCATCGCGAGGCAAAAGAAGGCGCACCACATAATTTTCGAGCTTAGTTATAGTCTCAAGTAACTCGCGACGTTCTTCCGCGGCCATATGACGCAGCTCTATAGCGTCAGGATCGTCGCTATTTTTCTGCTCAATAATCATTTCATCTAATTCTTTGACAGCCTTTTCTTGCTGCCTGAGATCTCGCACTGCCATCACTTTAGGCTCAATTTCTGCCAACTCGATCGACAAATTGGTAATTTTGTCGGATGAATAGCTGCCATCATTGCTGCAAGTGACCGTATAACCGCATGAAAAGTGAACATATGAATAAAATCAAAATATTAGTAGGTTGTGGCTAAGCGACAGCCACGTACTGGGATAACTCGTGCGCCAATTCGTCGTAGCGGCGTGTCAGCAGGTCCATCTGATTCAAAATGGCCGCTGGCATCGCAAAGTTACGCTTCTGTCCCCCGACTTGCAGCCATGTATTTAAAGCTGAATGAATTTTCTCTTGCGTACGAGGATATGACCGTAATACTCTCAACGCTGGCACCAGTACACGCCTCTGTCGACGCAACCGAGTGCCAAACATATTCGCTGGCGACGTAGCAATTGAAATGCAATGAGGTCATTGGTTTATATTTCTTAAACAATTAATTGAGTTCCTTGATTTAATCGTGTTAAATACAAGAAAAATCTACTTCTAAAGAGCCTGTCTGAAGTCTTGAGGCAGTACACAACTCGTTTGAGAATATGCTATCGTTAATACATGAACGAGAAGGCGGTTACAGTAAAGCTCATATCCGGGAACATGCGCTTGATACTTTAAGAACTACAGTAGAACCTGTCTAAATTAAACCTGTTTAATTTAAAACCCTCTCTAAATTGAA